TAGTTTCAACAACAACAACAACAACAACAACAACAACAACAACAACAACAACAACAACAACAACAACAACAACAGCACTGGGTTTAGGCCGATTATTTAGGGGTAGGGGTAGGGGGGGATTTGGTGTGGTTAGAGTTACTGTGGTGGGAGTTGAGTGGAGAGGGGTGGGTTAACATTTTACTTACTTTAAAGTGTTAAATTCCTCGTTTCATACCTAAGAGAGGACTGCCAGAAGATAGACAATAAATACACACGCACGCACGCACCATATTCAGACTCACACACACACACACATACACACACACACACACACACACACACACACACACACACACACACACCTGTAAGACAGACACACACGCACGCACACACAGACATACGCACATAAACAGGTGAGACACACATATACCACGCATACACCCATACAAGACACTAAATTGTCACATACACACACACACACACACATACACACACACACACACACACACACATACACACACACATACACACACTTAGACATACGCACTGACATTCACACACACGCAGGGTGTGACACATACACACACACACACACACACAGAAGGGTGTGACACACATACAAACATACACACACACAATTTCACACTTTCACACACACACACACACACTTTCACACACACACACACACACACACAAACAAACAAAACAACTCAAACGTGTAAACCAAACCCACACAGCGTGACCATTCTGTAATAATATTATATTTTTCCCCCTTGTCTCGCTTCACTGCATCAATATCACTCTGTCGAGTCTTTGAGCTGCCCGCTTGAGTGTTAAGAAATGAAGCGAGTTGTGGAAAAGACTCCTATGAACGTTCAAATCTACGCGTTAAGAAATGAAGCGAGTTGTGGAAAAGACTCCCATGAACGTTCGAATCTACGCGTTAAGAAATGAAGCGAGTTGTGGAAAAGACTCCCATGAACGTTCCAATCTACGCAGTTCGCGTTCATATCATTATCTAACATTACAAAAAATACATTGACAAGAAGAGAGAAAAAAAAAATTCCACCTCGCCCTCCTTTAGAAATTTAAAGAACGAATAAATAAAATAAAGAATGTGTTGCGTGATTTTTATTTCTTTTATTTTTTTAATGGACGTGTTTTTCTGAGTTTTTTTTAATGCCCCCATTGACACAATTTAGACCATTCTTTTGGGAAGCGGGGTTCGACCCCCTGCCTGTGAAAGCCACCACGGTGGGCTGAGCGAGAGAAAACGTTGAAAAAAGCAGACAGGCGGAAATGTTCGATAACAGTTCTCCCTACACGGAATGGAACTCAGGGCGTGTGACCAAAGATCGTCTATAACAACAAGATAGTTCATTCAGCCCAAAAAATTGTCCGCGGAAGTCCGCGCATTGGTTCAGAGGGCGCTGCAGTCTTTGGGGACTACGTAGTCACGGTGTCTAGGTAGTCCCCAAAAATGTTGGATTGTGATTGGCCTACTATATTTACACTCTACTAGAATGGAGCAATAAATCTTGAGAGATGCAAAAAATTAGAGGGTCTCAAAACAGAAATTGATCATTCTCGCTGTGCTTAAAGCGGAAATGGACAGGTTTAAAAATTTAAATTAATGGAGAAAAAGAATACATCACTTGTGGAACAATTAAAAACAAAAACTTAGAAAGAAGAAGAATTTGAAGTTATAAATATACCTGTGCCATGTGTGCACTCTTCAACCACCGCTAGTGTACCTGTAAATCTTGAAGTCATAATATTATGCTTGGGTGGTTTTGGAGATTTAGACAGCCGAAAATTGCCAAGTGGGGCCCCCTACGCAAATATAAAGTGTGTCCACAAAGTCTTGACTTTGCACTGTGGCCTATTTTGTCTCTCTATTTTATTGTAGTTTCAAAACACAACAAGTGTGCGTCAGTTGACGTGGTCACATTGTAACCAAGAACAACAAAGGGAAATAAACACTCTTTTTGTTCTGTTTTTATAAAGTGTTTTACGGCGCTCGCAACTGCATAAGGTCATATGAGCGCGCGGGACACACCTACTATTTTCAGTTGGTAGGAAATTTTGAATTTTTGCCCGGGTGGCGGCCGAAGCCTACTCTTATCTATCTTAGACCACCAAGGGATCTTTAACGTGCGCAACTTGCACACGGCCCTACGAGATTTTTCGCCCTTGTCCGAGAAGGCTAGGTGTAGATCTTTCCTACCAGAATATCAGGGGTGGGGCAGAAAGACAGCAGTAAGGAGGGGCAAAGGAGTAGCAGTAGAAAGGCTGCAGAAAGAGTAAGGAGCCCAGAGGAGGGGGCAAAGGAGGTGAGGGGGTGGGGGCAGAAAGTGGAAATGAAAGCAGACAATAGAACATTACTCATTTTTTCGGTCGCTACCCGGATTCGAACCCGGGACCTTTTGAATGAGAGGCCAACACCTTAACCTCTAGGCCACGAGAGCCCCTATAAACACTCTAAAATAGAGATAATTATGTCAGAATGCAACGTCAGGACTTTATGGACGCACTGTATATATATAGAGAGATTGACACAGAGAAAAATAAATGAACAAGTGTGTCACCTTCTAAACACAAGTCCAGAATAGTGAAAACAGATAAAAACAAGGCAAATACAGTATTTCGGACTCAAGGCAAATACAGTATTTGGGACACATAAAATGCCATTACTTAATCTGCAAGACTATACTAGAGAGTAAAGTGAGGGGAACAAGACGGCGAGAGACAGGTGATGATAGATTGGGGTCTACGGGAGCCTTGGTGGCTAGGTGCTCCCCAATTGGGGTCTACCTAGACATCATGACGACGTAGTCCCCAATTTGAGTTTACCTAGACACCCCCCTTTCGTTTCTCCAGAAGAAGAATAGGAATAGCTTGTTCGTTTCGCTTTTATTGTTTTTCACGCAAGTAAGGTAACTGTGATAAGGACGCAGGCGAATTTTGAGGGTACTCTTTAAAAATTGGTTCAAAGATATGAGTGAACTATCTTGTTATGTACGATCTTTGGTGTGTGTGACTGCGACGCGCCTAACCGCTACACC